CCAGAAACAGTAGCAGCGGTGGCCACCATTGCTATAACAGCAACAGCAGCAGCAGCAATGTCAAATTCTCTTCTGGAGTGTGTGGACATCCACTGGCATGGATACAACTCCAGTAACAGGAACCGCCAAGGTCCGTTTTTCTTGATCCCAGCATGAAAACAGTGGCTAGCGGGTCCTGAACCTGCAACACTACTTCTGAGGTCACAGTGAAGTCTCCAGAAAACTGGAGGGACTGAGAGACCAGAAGTGCTACCATTTGAGACCGCCTAGCCTCTAATAAATGGGTTCATTTACATAACAAAAACCCAAGCAGAGACAGATTAATAAATACCATTAAGAGAGTTAAAAGGGCCTTTGCAGAAAGTTTTTTATCTCACGTAACAGCTTTCTTGCCATCTAACAAAATGGTTTGGTGGAATGATGTATCACTAAGTATTAATGACAAGGGAAAAAGTACCTGTTTTATTCTAGTGATACAGTCAAGGACAAGCAAATTCAGGGCTAAAAGTGACAGCAGGGGTCAGTGACCAGAAAGGAATGGACGTGTATCTTGTTTGTAGTGGGCCAAGCTTAAGGTGAACACTTAACTTTGCACTTTATCCAGTGTTGATTATACTTCAACTTGAAAATTGGTACAGGGTGGGACACCACGTAAACCAGACATCATGGCAGGAGGATCGGAAATTCGAGGTCGTTTTCTGTTATAGTTCAAGGCCAGACTGATATACAGAAGATCCTGTCTCAAAAATAAATATATAAATATAGATTGTCCGGCATGAACACTTGCCCTGGATTCCCTGTCTAATACAGTAATGCAAGTTGTCCATTCAGTGATGGCAGAGGAATCACAGGAAGTGAATATAATTGGGGCTTTGGGTTTAAAAAGATTGTTAATCTGCCGTGACTTAAAGCAGGTTATAAAGCTTTGGTAATATCCAGAGGTTTCATTTGTTTGTTTGTTTGAAGTTTAAAGGATACAGCATAAATTTGCATAGGTTGTGCTGGGTGGATTTAGGTAAGCTTGCGTGTTTGACTCTGTTCCACTTCTGGTGCTTTTTCTTGATTATGCATAGTTAGACTTGAGGAGAGATGAGTGTGTGCTTGCTACGCTGGTGCTCAACAGAACCTTTGCTGCCACAGTCAGCATGACAAGCAGCATTATACAGACAGAGCAGCTTGCGTTTAGGAATATATATGTGTATACACACATACATGTAACAGTAATTGGTTTTTAAAAAAGCAAGAAGAGGTATATGGGAGGGCTTGGAGGAAGGAAGGGGGAGATTAATTATAATCTCAAAAATAAAATGTTTAAGAAGCTGAGCAAGTCAGTAAACAGCATTTGTCCATGGCCTCTCCTTTAGTTCATAACACTTGGATCCTGCCTGATTTCCCTCAGTGATGGACTGTGACCTGGGAGTATAAGATAAAATATACCTCACCTTGCTGTCAAAAAAATAAATAAAAATGTACTGTAAATTGTGGTTCAAGCTGAGCTGTAAAGTCTACACTTGATCATGTGAGAGATTCAAGGAGTTTCTACCAAGGATCTCTTGGCGATGCAGGATTGCTTGAACCCAGGAGTTTGAGATTAGCCTGGACAGTGAGAGCCCACTGGTAGATGATATGCAGTTCTGACAAGAATGAAGTTGATATGGTCATCTCAATTTTAATAGAAAAAATTTCCTATATAAAAGAAAACATAAATGAGAAAGATTCCATGTAAGTAAAATGTATACACAAAAAAAATTCTTTTTAAAATGTATAAAATACAAATACTAATTTTGAAATTTTCTTTTTTTTTTTTTTTAGGAAAATGTCAGATGAATTTTCGGTAAGTTGAACCTTGCTAAGTTTTATTGTTTTGTTTTGTTTTCTTTTTTCTTTTAAGGAGAACATGATACTGCCAGGGAAGGAGGTATACACTTGTAATGTCAGCTCTGTAGAGATTGGGACAGGAAGTTTGTGAGTTCCAAGCAATCTTGGCCTATTCAGTGAGACCCTGTCTCCTTATAAATAGTGGACAACTTCAAACAAAATAAACCACGTGGTCCTAACTATAAGGCATCTATGGCTTTGTAACTTAAAAAGATACATGCTTGGACTTTAGGCATATGATTTTTTTTTTCAGATTTATTTTTATTTATGTATGTGTGTAAGTGTGTGTCATATTAACTCCAGTTCCAGGGGTCCAATATCCTTTGGCCTCTGCCAGCTCCAGGCATGTGTGTTATTTGTATAAACTCATGAAGGCATGAGTTTGCTTTCATGTTGCTATGATAAAGAGCATGACAGAAAGCAACTTGGAAGAAGAAGCTTGCCCTCATCTTAGAGCTCATAGTCCGTCATGAAGGGAGGCCAGGGCAGGAACTCAAGGCAGGAACTAGAACATAAGCCATGAAGGAACACTGGCTTGCTCTTTGGAGTCACACTCAGCTTCCTTTGTTATATTTCCCAAGACCACCTTCCCAGGCATGGTACTCCCCACGGTGGGCATTAATCAAGAAAATGCCTCACAGGTTTGCCTACAGGCCAGTCTTAGAAAAGCATTTTCTCAATTGGAGTTGACTTTTCTGAGGTGGCCCCAGCATGTGTCAAGGTGGCAAAACAAACCAACCAGCATGCACACATACATAAAAATAAGTTGTTTTGTTGAGGGTCCACTTGGGCTACATGAAACCTTGTCTTAAAAATAATGTATTTTTCTTTAAACTGTATTTACAACATTATGTAAATTGCCTCATTTAATGCTGAACTTAACCACAAAAATGTTCTTGAAACTGAAAAAGTAAAGGTTGAGAGTCGAGTGTAGAGATCGTATCCTGTCTTATTTACCATACTGCACTCTATTTACAGTGCTCAGAAATGAAACACAGTAGAACTAGCTGTATTTAGAAAAATTGAGCTTTGGAGAATTTGCACTGTGAAGTTAATGTTCAAGATAACATCTCAAGTGCTTTTTTTAAGATGAGTAATTTAGTCTTTGAAGGTGCCACTGGGGCTTGTATCCCCGGGGATTGTGTCTAGTTTGTATGGGATTATCGCCATGTTTGCTTTGACTTTTGCTGGGACTTGCCGTGGATAAGACAGATAAGACATATCTATTTTGTATTCCAGTTGGCAGATGCACTGCCTGAACCATCCTCTGCCAAAACGTCTGCTGTGAGCAATACAAAAGCTGGCCAGGCTCCTCAAGGCTGGCCAGGCTCCAACCCTTGGAATAACCCAAGTGCTCCACCTGCCGTGCCATCTGGACTCCCACCAAGTGCTGCAGCACCCTCCACTGTGCCTTTCGGACCAACACCAACAGGAATGTATCCCTCCATGCCTCCAACCGGACTACCGCCAGGACCCCCAGCACCCTTTCCTCCTTCTGGACCATCATGTCCCCCACCTAGTGGTCCTTATCCAGCCCCTACTGTGCCAGGCCCTGGCCCCACAGGGCCATATGCTACGCCAAATATGCCCCTTCCGGAGCTACCTAGGCCATATGGTGCACCCACAGATCCAGCTGGTACTTTAGGTCCATGGGGATCCATGTCTTCTGGACCTTGGGCACCAGGAATTGGGGGGCAGCATCCTAATATGCCATATCGATCTCCAGGGCCATATCCCACTCCTCCTCCTCCAGTGTCAGGAGCACCGCCTGTTCCATGGGGCACTGTGCCACCGGGAGCCTGGGGACCACCAGCACCATATCCTGGCCCTGCAGGATCATATCCCACACCAGGACCCCATCCTGTTCCGAATAATCCTTACCAAGTGCCTTCAGGACCTTCTGGTGCTCCACCAATGCCTGGTGGCCCCCATGTAAGTGTTGCGCTTGTTATTGACAATGCAGTCAGAGTCACATTGACACAGTTGTGTAGCATGAATCTTTAAAGTTTTTATTAAGAAAATCAAACCTGAGCCAGGTATTGGGGTGAACTAGAAGATCAGAGAACCAGAACAAACCACAGCTAACCTCACCTGGCCAACTTCTCAGCTTGGTCTTGTTTCCTCAGACTGGAAGCTTCTGTGTCCTCATCCCAATGGCTCTCAGCTGAACTGCTGCTTGAAAGCCTGAAGCTTAATCAGTAAAAGCTTAACCAGCCAAATGTTTCTAGTTTCTGGTCCTCACGCCTTATCTACCTTTCTGCTTTCTACCACCACTCCCTGGGATTAAAGGCTCGCTTTCTGAGATTAAAGGCGTGAGTCACCATGCCTAGCTGTTTCCAATGTGGCCTTGAACTCACAGAGATCCAGAGGGATTTCTGTCTCTGAAATGCTAGGATTAAAGGTGTGAGTGCCACCATTTTCTAGCCTTTGTATCTAGTGGCTCTTCTGTCTCTGACCCCAGATAAGTTTATTTAGGGTGCACAATATTTTGGGGAACACAATACCACCACACACTGGAAGATTGTTCTAGGTGGGAGATTAGAGAACTTCTAATACTTACATGGTTGTGAATCTATACACTGAATAAATGTAAGCACTTGGGGTTCAGGTGCAGCATTTCAAAGAGCAGAAGTACTCCTGCTATTAAAAATAGCAAGGGAAGATCTCAGAGATCCCTAAAGACATTGGACTATGATGAGCAGTATGCTCCTCAGGACCCTTAGATGACTAAGACGCATGTCTTGGGCTGTGTTGTGGGGCAGAGCGGCTGTTTTACAATTCTTGGTGTCCTTTTACTGCATCACATCAAAGAGCAGCTTGAGAAAACGCTTGTCTGGGTTGATGGAGAGAACATGGGTCACTGAGTATATAATAGGTATTGCCCATGTCATACAGTTCTCCCTGGGTTTTTTGTTTTGTTTGTTGGGTGGGTTGGTTGGTTGGTTGGTTTTGGTTTTTTTGTGTTTGTTTGGGGGTTTTTTTGAGACAGAGTTTCTGTGTAGCCTTGGCTGTCCTGGAACTCACTGTAGACCAGGCTGGCCTTGAAGTCACAGATTTTCCTGCCTCTGTCTCCTGAACACTGGGATTAAAGGCATGCGCCACCACCGCCTGGCCCCCTCCCTGGTATATTTGAACCTGGCACTACAGCCACTATCCTTAGAAAGCAATCGGTTAACTCCTAAACCACCAGATAAGTAAGCACATTTCTACATTGAGTAATTAATAACCATCTCAGCTCTGAAGACAAACATTTTTAGTAGTTTCTTCCGGAATTTCATTAGTACAATTTCTTGCTATGTTCTCTCCCTGCCCCGCCCTCAATTTTTTTCTTGCAAAGTATGCCACAGCATTCTTGATGTCTGCATTTATTATATAGTAAGTTTATTTTACACCACCATAAAGTTAATAACTACATACACTGATTATATGTGGGAGGCACAGAGGTCGTTGTGCTCACAGATAAGCACTAGGGGAACCAGGAATGTTAAACACACTGGGTTGTCTCTTCAACAGGAGAGACATATAACCTGTTTTCTGCCCAGAAGACTGGGAGCAGACGTGGTTAATAGCCACCTGGTGACCTTTGCGCTATCTGAGTGGCCAAGGGCCATGCTGAGATGTTTCTCAGCCATTGACTACTTTAACTGATTGTGCATGTTGTGCTCAAACTGTTCTTGTTAGAAACTGCAAGACTTAACCCCATGCCCGCTCCTAACGTTACTTCACCGTTGTTTCTCTCCCTTCAGCCGTCTCTATGACAACGCACTCAACCTTGTGTTATAACTTGTATCCATGCTCATTCCGATTTACCAGGTCCAGTAACAGCTACTGGTGCCCAAGCTAATGTACTGGCTGCCTCCTCATCCCTAATTCTTTTCAGGTCACTCAGAACGCTCATGAACTTCATCAAAATACAGAATCTTTGCAAGTGTAATCCTCTACCTCGTGACCAAGCTCGGCAGATCATCAGAACCTGTCCTTGTTAAATTCTTTCACCCCACTGCTATCTGCTAAAGGAATTAATTCCTGAGCGTTGAAATCGAATGCCATTTGACAAACAGATATACTCTTCTCTCAGAATTTGGATGTTTAAAATATGTTGAGACTTTTTCTAATATGATTGTTGCTTCTGCTCACAGAGGTGAAACAACCTTGGATGCCATTGTTCATTTATTATATACATTTTCCTCTCTAGGACTCCTAATGCAACTAAAAACTGATAATGGTCCTGCTTATACCAGCAAATACTTTAAAGAATTTTGGAATTTATGGAATATTAATAATGTTACTAGAATCCCTTATAATCCACAGGGTCAAGCTGTTGTGGAACAACACCACCAGTACTTAAATGGCAAATTTTAAAAGTAAAAAGGGGGTATAGACACTCACCTAAATCCCCACACAGTGTGCTGCATGTAGCTCTACTGACTTTAAATTGTTTCACTTTAAAGGATAATATTTCTTCTGCTGCCCAAAAGCATTTTGCCGTAAAAGAGACACAGCCTAAAGTATAGGTTAAATGGAAAGCTCTAGAGGCTAATGAGTGGAAGGGCCCAGTGTTCACCTAACATCAGGGCGAGGTTATGCTTGTGTTTTTCTAGAAAGTGAGTGAAGTTCCAGGTGGCTCCCATTCTGATGTATCTGACCAGGAGAGCAGCCCAGAGTCCAATGGACAAATGAAAGTTCTCAAGGTAGACAAGAAAGCTATCAAGAAGCGGAATCCCAAGAGGAAGAATTGTAAGCCAATAACTTGGGGAGACATCAAGAATTTAACTCAACAAGCTGAGACCTTGGGGAAAGAACAAGGACACAGTACAACTGACCCCAAAATGATGCTGTTATGTTTAATGGCTATATTACATGTTAATTCTCAGCGTGACCCTTCAGATCCCAAATGACTTTTGTTGAGGGAGGTAAAGGTATACCTGTAATAAACAGTATGATGTTGTTTTGCCATGCTAAGGATTGTTTAATTCTTTGGGACCAGTTGTCTGAACAAAAGATGGTATACAAATATTTAGTCACATGAATGGATATATTGGTTGGACTAATCAAGGAGATCAGTCCAAATGGAATAATACAGATTTTAGCATAACTAAGTACTCTTTCGAAAGCTCTGAGAGTGGAAATTATAGTTGTATGAAAATTTAAAAAAGGAATTTCTGATGTATTGCTTACTAGAGTTGATATTATTGTACCTAGAATAGTGCTATCTGTTGCCAATGGCTTAGAAAATAACCCAGCTTGATTTGGTGCTTATCATTCAACAAGACCAATCTTTTTGTACAGAGGAGACCCGTCTATCCTGGGCTCTTAAACAGAAATTTATATGACATAGAAGTTACTCATGCATTATTCACAAATAACAGGGGACAAAATAGAATCTACCGATGCCCATATTCATAGGGCTTCCCGTGACAGTCCTGTCAGTGGTGGGTTTTTGTTTGTTTTTGGTTTTTGTACATTGTTTCTGCTTTAAATGTACTTCTATCCCTCATTATTGCAATATCACATCTAATCATACTCTTTGGTAAACAACTGCCTTTTCGATGGACACTTTTTTTAACAATGCAAATGCTGCTTGTAATGACCTTCCTGCAGGTTTTAAAGGTTTATGTGGGAGAGGCCATATTACATCCATTGTGTTCAGTAGATCTTTGCAGTCGATACTAGAATAGAGAGCTCTTCCTGAAAATTGTGATGATTCTTTGCTTCTATTGCATCCTGTGGTAGTGAGAGCCACTAGAGCGTTTATATTACCAGTTCCAGAAGTCATTACTGTAATACAAGGAGAGGTCTCAAAGATGGCCTGTCTGATTAGTAAAGCTACTGATATTACAACAAATATGTGAGCAGAAATTTGTCAGAGATGGGTGAATTGAGAACCACAGTTTTACAAAACAGAGCTACCATGGATTATTGTTGCTCAGATATAGTCATAGTTGTCAATAATTTTCTGGGATGTGTTGCTTTGATGTATCAGATTTTTCTCATACTGTCATTGATAAAATTAATGATTTGCATAGAGATAATCTCACAGGTGACCTTTGAATGGCTGTCATGGTTAAGATAGCGTTCCCCTTTCTTTGGTCCTCTGTTGGCTATTCTTATAGTTTTGTTATGCTTGCCTATACTAAACTGGCCATGCAAACAGTGCATTTAACCTTGACCGCAATTTTTATTTAAAAATTAAAAAGGAGGAGGAGATGTGGAAGCACTAGGGGAACCAGGAATGTTAAACACACAGGGTTGTCTCTTCTAAGGAGAAGATGTATAACCTGTTTTCCGCCCAGAAGACTGGGAGGAGATGTGGTTAATAGCCTGGTGATCTTTGCGCGATATGTGTGGTCAAGGCCACACTGTTTCCTCCCCCAGACACTTACCGTGAACTTGTCAATCTGTAAGATTCATCTTTATGTAAGATGTCATATGTACTTCACGAAGTGTTTCTATGTACTCCTGTCTTAAGCGTCATTATACACACGGGACTGAGTTGCTTACCACCAGGAGACTTTTCACTAAATTGCACTGTACTTAAATATGCCTAAAATAAACTACTCAGGTTCAGACTCCCAAAGTTTGAACCAGCTACTGAATCCTGTTGAACTGAGCTGTCTTGCCTCCTGCAGATTGTTACTTGTGACCGCTGCATGTGGCGGGGGAAGCCACACATGATGGGCAGTCTGCATCTGGCAGACAGCCACATGTGGTAGGTGAGCTGAACGCAGCAAAAACATGTTTTTACATAGAGGCATATGATTAACAACAGCTGAAGTCAATTCACTCCTATCCACTATGCCTGGGAGGGGTATGAAAGCATATTCCAAACAGTTCTGTGTCTTTTAAGACATTGAGGCCACAAGACTTGTCTCAGTTCTTGGAGTTTTCTCACAAGCACTCAGAAATCTCTCATAAGACTCCAGTCTTGCACCATGCTTTGCTGTCTCCCCCTTTATGGTTTCTTTAAATTCAAGATTTCCAGGGTGCTATAATTTTGAGATGTTGTAGCTAAATCTAATTGTTGTTTGATGCATGAGTATGCTATAAGCAAACAAATTATAACTATAATAATATTAAAACAGTGAAAAACATTGTGTGTAATATTCTGCCATGAAGAATAGAGATCTAGACTATGTCCAGTACTATTGGTTACGATATATTAATCACAAAAATCTAGAGAGTAGCTTGAAAAGAGACTCGTATAATTAGTAGTTATGGTATCTTATAGAATTTTAATAGGAACATAAATGTTATAATGCCCTATGCAGATAGAAAGTGATTTAAATCTCTAGGAAAATTAAATGCAGTACTGTATTCAGATGTGGTCCAGGCACAAACACGGGTCATTAGTAAAGATAACAGGAGCTGGATCTGTTCATCTACAAGTTGAAGCAGAGGAGAATGAGAAACATAAAACCAGTACCTGTGCTCCGAGGCACTCACTGCAGATACCCAGGTCAAAGCAGCTTGCATCGCCTGAAAGTGATTCTCGGGTGACCTGGAACTCTGTGTGTTGTAAAATAACCTCTCCCATGGTGCTTAGGACTTTATCTTGGCCCCGGGTGGGCACATTTGACTTCTGGTGTATTGCTCGGTATCTTTTGCCCTTTAGCTGGAGGCCCTCCACCATCATCTCTGATGGCCCAGGGCTGGAGGAGCCAAAGAGGAATTCACAATGTTTTCATGGATCTTTCTGAAATGACAGACTCATATCCAATCCTGATTTTTTTTTCTCCAGCCACCCAGGCTTCCAATTCTCGAATTATTTAAGCCACACAGGCCCATCTAAAGGCAGTTGAGAATGTTCTATAGAGAAATGTTTTTGAGCTCTTCTAAACATACCGCCTTGAGGCAATTTTAAAAAAATTAACAGTAAATAAAGTACAAGAATACCCTTTGGTGCTCCTGTTTATTGTTTAGTAATTGGTTTTATGTTCTTTCAATTATGCCTTGGCCTTGAGGATTTAAAAGATTGCCTGTAATATGATTAATACTCATTCCTTCTAGAAGTTAAGTTTTTTTCCTACTGTAGTCTGGTCCATTGTTTAGTAGGCACTCCCATAACAGCAAAAGTTTGTGTAAGAGAAGAGCATACTGCAGAAGCATTCTCTGAAGACTAAGGTACAGCCCAGAGAAATTTAGAGTTCTGTGTCAATGCAGATGTGTAGGTACCACATCTTTAGTAAGGGTCCATTGAGGTGTCCAGACAGGCTTGCTGGATTTCCATGTCATTTTTAGAGGTGGTATTTCGTTCAATGACCCCTGTGGAAAACCCAATCTGTGTTCATGATTTTGCCCTTGTGGGAAGGTAGGTTTAATAATTCCCTGCAACTCTTTGCCTGGTCCTTTTCCTTGTTGCTGTCCTGTTCTTTTCATTAGCCATTGCTCCTATGAATAGGTAGCAGTAGAGGTAGAATAGAGATCTCATTAGTTTGTAAAAAGTCTCTTCCCCCAAGGATGAATGGGAGCATCAGTAACAAAGCTGTAGGGCTACTATTATATTTTCTGTACTTACACATTTTAATTTTGTACCACTTTGTTTAATCTTGTTAGAGCTCATAGTTCTCAACTCTAGGAGGGTTTAATTTACCTCCATAACAGGCCATTTGGAGGCCATTCTATGTTATAATACAGACAGTAGTCAGCTCCAGAATCAATCCTGTGAAAGGTTTTCCTGTTATTTTTAAGTCCATTAATGGTTTATCATAAAGTGCTTAAAACTTCAGTTTTATCTGTACTGCCAAATTCTTCCTCTCGAAGCACATTTTTCTGTGAAATGGCACTTATACAATTGTTTTCTCCTGCATTAATTTGCAGGTCATTGGGCACTATGATCATGACTGCAATTTCCTCTATATAGTTCTCATCAATAACTCTTCTATGAACTATTATTCCTTTCATGAATAAACTGCAACTTTCAGTATAGGTCCCCAATATTCTATAAGTAACTTAAAAGGACACTGAAGAAAGGAAATGGAATTTTTTTTCCATTTTTATTAAGAAATTTTCTATTCATTTTACATACCAGCCACAGATCCCCCTCTCCGCCCACTCCCCAGCCTTTCTCCCCAACCCACCCCCCATTTCCACCTCCTCCAAGGCAATGTCTCACATGGGGAGTCAGCGGAACCTGGTACTTTCAGTTGAGGCAGGTCCAGACCCCTCCCCCTTGCAACAAGGCTGTGCAAGGTGTCCCACCATAGGCACTGGGCTCCAAAAAGCCAGCTCATGCACCAGGGACGGATCCCAATCCCACTGCCTGGGGGCCCCCTAAATAGTTCAAGCTAAACAACTGTCTCACCTATCCAGAGGGTCTAGTCCAGTCCTGTGGGGACTCCACAGCTATTGGTCCACAGTTCATGAGTTTCCACTGGTTTGGCTGGCCGTCTGTGTACGTGGGAAATGGGAATATCTTTAGGGCGAAGAATAGCAATAGCAGCTCTTCCTTGAGTAGTAGTTGATACCAAAGAAATAGATGGATTACAATCTGAAGCTGGCACAAATATTACTGCTTTTTTACTTGAATCCTCTAATCTCCTTGTTGACTGGTATTGTCATTGTTACTAGGAAGTGTATTTCTGTCCTTATCAAATTTAGACCACCATTCCTTAGCTCAGTGTTTTCCTTTATTGTGTTCAGGGCATAAGCCAGGAATTCCTAGATTCTGAGTGTTCCTTTGTTAAGTAGCCAGGTCAGCCACAATTGACACATTTTGCTGAGGTCTGTTTCAAGGGCATGAGTTTCAAAAGCAGCTAATTTTGCTCTAAGTTTGTAAGTCCCCACATTTCTCAGGACTTGAGAAAGTCCATAACATTTCCTGTCTCTCCATGAAGTCCAATTATTCATTGGTGATCTTCACTGGCATTATCAAAAGTCAGCTGTTTAATGATAATGCTTGAACTTGTTCCCCTTTTACTTGTTTCTCAATGACATGATTGAGTCTCCCTTTGAAATCAACATAAGGCTCGGAGGGACCTTATATGATTTTGTGTGTGTGTGTGTGTGTGTGTGTGTGTGTGTGTGTGTGTGTGTGTAACTAGACCCAGAGTCAGATCCCCTACCAATTTTCATCCAAGCAGCCAGAGTTATGTCCCTAATGTGGGAGAGCTGTAGGCAGTCTGTTATCCAACTGATGATTTGTTGGTCCAGTCCCTATCAGCATATCATAGGAGACATTTTCCAGATCACCCCTCAGTCCTAGATGCCAGACTTTTTCATGGGCTTCATCTGTAAGCCATATTTGCCTTTGAAGAAATTGGGAAGGGCTTAGAACCATTTCATAACATAACAATTGCATGAAAATCATAAAGCATCCTTGTGCAATAATGCTCTAACCAAAAAGATATTCATAGCAAAATGGAGCAGTAAGGTCCATAAGAAGTACAAGCCTCTTTAAAATCTTTATATCCATGTCTGATCCCTGATAAACATTTTGATTTTGCTGAAATTACACTGCAAATACCAAATGCAGCTCATGAGGCTGGGGAATTGATGGATGAATTCCGTTTCCCTGCTGTGTCCTAGCTTGCCTAGGTTGTAAACTTGGCATTTTCATAGCCTCTCCTAAATCCCTGTCAGGAAATGGGGGGAGTATGAGATTAGATTGATTATCAGATTCCTCACCCCATGCTTCTGGATCATCTTCAGGCAGTGGAGGAAACCGATCTAAAGGAAGTTCCAGTAAGGGAGCTGAGGGGGGTCATCGCCGGCATAGTGATGGATGCCATGGTTTTTGCTTTCAGTTTTGCCTGAACAGGGGGGTGGGAGAAATCTACTTTTTTGCCCCTGTTACCAATTTTAAGATTTGATCATCCAGTTTATATTCATTCAAGGAACTATCCATCTCTACCTTATGATTAATATTCTCCTTGTCTTCCTTAAGCATTTTAATAGCAGTCTGAATTAATGCCCAAGTGACCAAATTTGGATGGGGATCTTTCCTCTTGTTTCTATGCCTTATTCAGTATTCTTTTGGACTCTGTCCTATACTCCTTCACCTAAAGTTCCTTCTTCTGGAAACCAGGAATACTTGCAAGCAGTCTAATATTTTAATACTTGTGCCCCTCCTCTCTTTAAAAAATGATGCATAAGGTCGACATCAGGCAAAGCCTTCCCTGGTTTCTGTCCTGTAATTCTCACCTCCTTGTGTGAGCATCCCCACTCTAATCTTGTAGGGACTTCAGGTCCCTGTTCTGGGTGCCACTTGTCACTGTTCTAGAGGGGTGGTACCTGGGAGAATGGAGCCCATAAATGAGGTGGACTCAAGTCTCATGCAATAGCCACTATTTATTTAGCGCCTCTGACATTTTATATTTTGAGGGTCAAGAGTATTTGCGTGAGCAAAGTGTCCAGTCACAAGTGCAAACTACATGTGATGGGCAAGCTGAACGCAGCAAAAATGTTTCTCCATAGAAGCATATAAATGAATAACAATAGCCAGCTGTGATGAATAATCTGAAGTAAACTCACTCCTGTCCGATGCATCTGGGAAAGAGACAAAAACAATCCAAGATCAATTTTATGTTCTTGAAGAAACTGAGGTCACAAGACTTGTCTTAATTTCTTGGAGTTTTCTCATGAGCACTCAGAAATCTCACATGACTGCATTCTTGTACTGTTCCAACGGTTGTTTTTTTTTCTGCTGGCTGTCGTGTTCACATAGACACCCATACACCATTCTAGAAATTGACTTTTTTTTCCTTTTTTTCTGTTGCAGTACCATTAAGTTGAGAGTGGATGAAGAGATGGCGCCTTGCTTTTTGAAGTACATGTACATGCACATGAAGGCTTATACACAAGTGGCTGGTTTCACTGTTGGTGAAGGACGTTCCTGAAAGAACAACTTTTGTACCTCAGAGAGTTCCTGCTTCATGTGTTTGGATATGTAGAACATCACATGGGTACAATCAGATAAAAATGTAAAAGCAAATCAAGTGTGGTTAATGTGGCTGTGTATATCAAATAGCTTTTGATAATACTTGTTTAAAATATAGCTGTACCCTCAATCTAAAATGACATGGATTATTGTTAGACTCTGTAACTTAATTGGCAAAGTAATTCAAGTATTTTTTTTTATAATCATCCCGCACTCCCATATAACTGAAAACAATCACTTAATTGAAACATGACTCCTCAACATTTTGAGGTCCTCTGCCTACACAAACCAGGACCTCTTGTTATATTTTAGCTACATAAATGTATTGTGTATGTGTTTGCTAAGTTTAATTCAACATTATTCCCAGTTCTGCCAAAATAAGATAATGTTCCTATCAAAATTGCATTATGATCTAAGGACAGGTTTCTTGCTCTGACAGAGTTTTAGAAAAAGGTTGGTGCCACATGCACTTGAACAAGGTTTAATACAGGAGTCAGACTGTCCAACCTCAGGAAGGTAGGAAGAGGAGATGAGTGAGGCAGCTGGGCTGGGCCTCATGTCCACCCAGCTGTGTGAGCCAGCAGCTGGAGCTGGGAACTTTCCTCTCACTAGCAGACAGCTCCAACATAGGGATGTCCTTGACAATCTGATTTGGAATTCACAAATCATTTTTTTCTTCAAAGCATTTACAAAAGGTGGTCCATTTCCTTATAAGTTAAGTTACTGGCTGGACTAAATAAACATCATTTATGACATTTTTTAATGGAAAAAAAATGTTCTGAATTCCAAATGACATTCTCCTAATGACTGAACCACAGCTCATTTGAGTTGTTCCAGAATTACACATGTAGTTAATACATGTTGCTTGGCCGTAGTATACAGGACAACTGGAGGTGAAACTAGTTGACAAAGCCACGGTCAGACCTCTCAGTAGACCAGTAGGAAGCAGAGGCTGACAAGTGGCTCCTGCAGACACTAAACCATCTAGATCGATCAGTGTGCATGACTGCACAACTTGCTTTTCCAAAGGACATTTCTGGACCTGCTATGAGTCCAGAAGGCAGTCTGCTGTGCTCTCCCAGTAGCACAAGGCCTGTATGACAGACCCTTTCCCACTCCAACTTAAGGGATTAAAGAAGATTGGAGTACTCGGGAGCCAGAGGCAGGTGGGTTTCTGAGTTTGAAACCAGCCTGATCTACAAAGTGAGTTCCGGCACAGCCAGGACTACACAGAAAAATCCTGTCTCTGAAAGAAATAGAAAAAAGGGATGCTGGATTTGCCTCCTGGTAGGTTTAAGACCGTGTTATGGGGAGAAAGTCATGGCCCAAGTCAACCATGGGTGTGGCCTTCAGCATTTCGGTGTGCTCCACTACTTTGGAACTTGGAGCTGCCCTCCTCTTCTCACTGCTACTCTAGGTGTGAGGTTTGTCCAGCTTTGGGTGAGATTTTACAGTCTTGGGCTTGACACAGCAAAGCATGATCCTTGAGCTTGTTTGTGCTGTGTGTGCCAGGGGTGCCATGGCAGTGACTGGTGACCCCAAAATGCCACTGATCTTACTACCAGGTGCGTTCAGACAGTGATTCACCAAAGATACCTCCTGCATTAACTTAAGCCTTAAAACTTTTAAGTGCATTTGGTGCCAACATTTTTCTAGTACTCTAGCAGAGCAAGAAACCCATTCTTAGGATGTAATGCAGTTTTAAAAGGAACATTTTGTTATTTTGGCAGAACTGGATATAGTGATTGAATTAAGCTTAGCAGCCACAAAAAGATTGCTGATTCTCTTCTCGGGGGCGCCCTGCCAGTCTGGGCATCTGGACCCTGGAACATACCGTCACTGCCCTGCCTACCTATGTAATTTTAAGCCAATAATTAGCTGCCAAGTTCATCAGCCGCTGTTTTGTTGTTGGTGTTTGGGGGGAGGGTAGTTAGTAGAATCTAATGATCCATCCTGCATGTTGTGCTGTGGACAGTACTTCCATTTAAACCCTGTGCTTTGGACTTTCCAACTGATAATTGGGACTTAATAAATTTATTACTGTTATTTAATGTAAGTGGAAATCAAAGGTATGGCAGAATTTTCTATTTTTGTTTTGTTTAGAACATTTCTCCTGTTGCTGTCAGGGTAGAGTATTTCTGGATTCAAGATACAATCAAGAAAAGCAAAAATAAAATAAAAAATAAAAGGTAGCCAAATGAGGAAAAGAATCCAGAAAGAAAGGGCTTTCTATTTTTGTTTGTGTTTTAACCTAAGAAAAGAATAATGCTCTCTTCAGAATAAGCCATGCTGGAGTAGGACTGGTCTCTTAAAAAGACAGCTTGTCAATAAGTGTTTGGTCCAAATTACAAAATTTGTTGACACAGGCTGACAAAAATTTTTAAATAAATATAGCAAAAACATTGAGGTGTGTGCAAGAATAGTGCTTCTGACGTTGAAATCTGGGGTTTTACAGTGTATTATTTTCCAAGAACTCTCCCTTTGTTCATCTTACTCTCAGAGTGTAACAGGGCAGACAACAGAACGTTTTAGAAAACAGTCATGATGCACCTCACAAGCTAACACTTTCCAGATACACACACACACACACACACACAGCTTTTGAAACTTGGGGTAGTTGTCTACATTTCTAAACTACTAGTGCCATGTGTTCCTCTGCCTCTGATTTAGAGCTAGCTTTGTGAAATGCCAGCATTGGAAGCTCTGGAAAGTAAAGTCTAAGCACAAGCCATGTTTAAAGAAGTGCAAGCTTTCCTGCCGGAGCTGCTGAGAGCAGTGCGTGCCCTCAGAGAAGCCTGATCCTAGGGGAGCAGATGTTACACTGTTTTCAGAATTCTGCCAAGTCAAACAAAAATGAGTAATGGTGATGGGACTGAGAATCCATGCACACTTGTGGCTGCAGAACCCATCTGCGGACTGAGTCCATCTGATGTGCACATCTGTACTAAAGAGTTAGCCACACCATTACCTGCCACCTAAATAAAAAGTGGTGAATAATAACTCTCAAGGTAACAGATTGGTCTTGGGGCATTTTAAATGGCATTGGATTTGATACTTATTTTCTTATTTGACATGGGTCTCACTATATAACTCTGGCTAGCCTGGAGCTCTTTAATGTAGATGAGTGACTCAAAAAAGTCTTCCTGTCTCTGCCTCCCAAATGCTGAGATTAAAGGCATGTCCCTTGCTTGTTAAACACACTCTCTCTCCCTCTCCCTCTCCCTCTCCCTCTCCCTCTTCC